TCGATTCAGAAAATCTCGTTGGAAGGTCGAAAGATCTACCCATACATAGGTAATAAACCAGTGATGAGCATCTCCTCCTAATCGAGCGGGAATGTTTACCTGAGCTTCGTTATCGTCATACTGTTGTGCTCGGAGCGTGGCCAACCATGCTCCTGCAAGATGATGTGCAGGGTTGAACAGATAAAGATAAGGTGGTGTCATGGGAGCCCGTGCTCATGGGACGGGTTGATTAGGATTTTGTTGTTGATTGGCATTTTGCTGCTGTGGGTTTTGATTTTGTGGATTAGCATTCATGTTGGCTGCCCGTCGATTAGTCGATCTACTTCGGGTGATGACGGGGTCGCGTCTATGCACGTTCCGGGGTCGAGGTCGCCCTCGGTTAGCTAGGTCGTTCAATTATTGTGCTATCAATCCTAAAACTCGGCCACGTGTCGGGCTCCAATACCAACCTCACGCCCAGCGCAACTTCCTGATCGGAGTAGGATGTGGGCCTGAAAGTGCGAAAAGGGGTGTGCCAAGGATTTTTGGGAAAGTGGGGGTGGAGTCCCAGGTCAGAACTGAGATCTCTTGTGGCAAAGTTTTTCAGGGGCACGAGTGTAATTTGGCGAAGAGGATGGACCGTCTCTGGTCATAAGGCAGATGGCATGCGCGGGTTAGTCAAGGTCGGGCGAGCCATTGGCTCCGATGACGGCGGTTCGTTGGAAGGTCCCTCCGGGGTGGGTGGGGTTCCGATAAGTCGGGCCGTCGGAAGTTGCCACGTGGCGTCGGCCGTCACGCGTTCAGGTTAGGCCTTCGGGATTCTGAAGCTCTTTGGTTGCCTCACCGTCGACAATTTCCGCAGGGCGTGTTGGGCCAGTATGGGGCTATGGCCTTCCACGGGACAACGCTGAGTCGATGATACAGAAGAAGAAGTCGGAAAGGAGGGAAGCTGGTGGAGATAATGACAAATCCGGGGTGGGTGAAGTAGTGGGTATGGTCTTGAGTGGGGAAATCAGAGCACCGGGGTTCGCTAGTGGTGGCGCAGTGAAACTCCCTAGGACACAGTCGACTCTCTGTTAGGCAAGGGTATCTCTGTCGGAGGCTTTCCTCTATCCAAGGGGTGAAATAGTATGGGTCGTACAATAACGACTCTGAGCTATCGGAGTGTGTCATTATGTCATCACAGAGTTGCGAGATGCCTAAGGGTGGGTCCGTACCGACTGCGATCACCCCGTGCGAGCACGTGCAGGCTGCACGAATCAAGTCGCGCTTACGCGTGTTCGCACGGGATGACTGCTCCGTCTCAGACCCTGAATGACCGCATCCATTCAGACAGTGCTTCTGCAATCGATGGTCCTTTTTGCAATCGATGCACGGGGGCACGTGTAAAGGGGCAGATCAGGTCGCGTTTACACACGTCCTCGCGCGGCGTTCGTCGGGCCAGACATTCGATTGTTTAATCACTCCGTAATTTCGGAGTATGCAAGGTGCAACAATTCCAACAGCTCGATCAAAAGATAGCAGAAATGAGAACAGGATCAACGACTGCACAAAATTCCTACCCTACTCATGAGTGCATCAAAAGGCGGTAAGCAAAGACGAAGGCAAGGATCAGGTAGAAAGATAAGCAACAAACATGATATTCATTCATTCATTCATACATTCATACACCATATCCGAGATGAAAAATCACAAGACAAGTGTGAGCGGAAGGAAACCCAAGTCCAGATTCCGAAAAACAGAAACGGGCAAATCACCCGGAGCCGAAATCAAAATTTATATACACGAGACATGAGGGAGAAAAGATAAAAGAAACAACAAATCCGTGTCCATCAACCTCAACTCCCTCTTCCTCTTTCTCTCTCTCCAATGCGGACAGTTCGTCGTCGCGCACCAACCCACGAAGTCGTCACCCCGCTTAGTCCTCCCGCACCCGTCAGGTTCGCCCGCGCCCACAGTCCGTCGTGGCCTGCGTCAACCCCTCGCGTTTGGCACTAGCTCGTCGGGTCGCCCGACTCCTGCTCTACTCACCTCTTACTTCGCTCGTGTGCTGACCCTCACTGATCGTGCAACCCCGAGCTTCCAATAGTTGGATAAGAGAGCTAACTAATCGTGCAGCCGAAATTTATAGCGTGCATGCATGCATGAAGAACACGGAATTACAAAGACTTAGAAGGACGATTAGAGAAGGAATGCCTACGTTCTGCATGGCCCAATCGCAGCGTGGGGGACGTAGCCACTCTCCACGCATCGATCCGATCATGCAGAGCGCGACTACCAAAACTCAGCGAAAAAGAAAGAGAAGAAGGGGGGGAAAGACGAAGCACAAGAAGAAAGATACAGTTACAATGGCGCCAGTTGAAAATTACAGTTACACACACGATTAAAGGCGTCGACTAATCAGAATTCCGTTTCAGCCGCACGAAGAAGCACTTTAAGCAAAAAGGCGTTGCGTGGCAAAAAGAAAAGTCCTAATTACAAAATTCCTAAATTCCTATCTAATGCGGAAAAGGCAGAAAGCAAAAACTCCGTAAAAGAAAGTCCGAAATTCCGAGAGCCATCGGGGCTCGACAAGATTCGAAAAGGAATTCGAAAAGGAAATTCTCGCGCGATGTCCTCGCCTAAAAAGTTTCGAAACCAAAACAAGAGAAACGACGTCAACATTTATTATTCGTGCGCTCGACGGCGTGCCAGCTATCTGAAAAAGAATCAACGCAAAAGACGAAGAAACGAGGGTACTGATGCAATTTCCCATCCATCCCAATCTCCCGTAATTGGCCCAACCTTCCCAGCTTAGGACCCCTCATTGCAATCGTGCAGAAAGTCGCTCGCTACAGAAAGTGGTTCTTCACACCCCTTCTATTCTCGGTTCCCCCCATTTTATTCTCAGGTAATTAACCCTTTCCCAAAAAGTATCATCAAAGCAAATCGGAGCTAGAGGCTTAGGGGCAGGCCCCAGTCGAGGCCGTAATAGCGGTCAGGTTAGTTCCCAGCCCGACATCCTTAGGGATGTGTTTTATACCCCTGAGTCATACAGGTCGTCCATTCAAGTCCAGAGGCTGGTTGAAAGGGTGGTGAATTTGCTGGGGGGACAATTAATTGGGAAGGGGCATATGTTGCTTGCAGAGGACCGGTGGCTGCCCGTAGGAGGCCGAGGAGGCCGCAGGCCTTGAGTTGAACATTTCGAAACAGCTTGGGCCAACTTTCCTCAAATAGAAGGGAACTTCGAATAGACCACCTGTGTGTTGTATTTGAAAACAACTCGTACCTTTTTTCATTCGGATTCGGAAAAGAAAAAACTTTTGTATTCAAACAGGACATTACCTTTTCTTTATTTTATGAGGTTAGGGTCTGCCCTTGTGCTGCCCACCACTGACATGCTGCATGCTGCAGCTCTCTTTACCTTTTCTTTATTT